AATCAGAAAAGTTGTGCATCAGGGTTGACCCTTTCACCACACCTATCCGGCCTGGCAGTACTCGTCATTTCTCACTGCCCACCCTCTGTGCCCTTCTCCTCAGGAGTGGGTCAGCTGTAAAAGCAGAATGGGCACAGCTGTGCTTCCTGGGACCTGTACAGAGGGCCAAATCCTGGGGACAGTGTTTATTTCTATTCTGAAAGAACTTGATAAGAGATTGAGAAATACTTCCAACATGAATTATAAGGAATTATCAGATTATTTTGATTAAATGATCATCCAGCGTTGGATCAAATGATCCTCAAGTTGCTGCCTTTGCACGCATGCCCAGCAGTGAAGAACCAGGGCACAGGGAGCTGATTACTCCAGTGCTGAGTGCCGAGACGTCTCCTCTCCTCTCCCTGTGGTTTTTCCACTGCTAGTAACTCGTGGCCGGTGTGGCTTGGCTGTGCAGCAGAGTCTATTGCCCAACAAGGGCTGATTTTAATACGAATCGGAATTGACTCAGTGACCGTGGCATTGAGTTCTGCTGTGGGCTTTGATCCTGGTTGGCATGTTGATGGAGAAGTGTTGAATGACAGAGTAATTGAGTTGCTGTAAGCAATCTGAGGTCTTAACTTCTCCTTATCTGATTTTGTAGCGTAACTAATACACAGAGGATTTCAACATCACTGCTTCTTGGCAAATGATGCCTTTCCTGCCTCTCACCTGCGGCGCTCTTGGTCCCAGCATACAATCCAGGGTCTCAATCTGGACTTTATCAATGTCAAATTCCTGGTCTCAGAGGTTTCCTAGGAGGAGGTAGCGAGGACCACCTTCAGGCCCCTGAAGGCGTGAAGCCTTTGTTGTTGGTGGTAGTTGCTGTCCAGTGGCCACTGATGATAGATCACCTAGTCTCAGCTCTATTTTTCTCTGTGATTCTGTGTACTCAGCTCATGACTGGATGAGAAATCAACCACTAAACCCCACTGCTGCTGAAACAACTCTGACTGACAGCAGCCCCGCGTGTGCAGAGGGGGCTGCTCCACGGCTTTTCAGGGCCGTTCAATCAACGTCTGGCGAGGATGTAAATGTTTTCATATGCTTTTGTTGTAAATAAATATTAAGCTCTGTTAGCCCAAAGAGAGAGATACTCTGAAGAGCTGTGGCCAAAAAGAATCATCAGAAATCTGCTCATGTCCAGTGTGAGTGTGTGTGTGTGTGTGTGTCTCACTTGTGTTGAGACAAACGCATAGCTGGCCCTCCAGCAGGTTCCAAAGGCTAACAATTGCCATTTTTTAAGATTGAAGGTTTGGGGCGACTCTGTAGACTCTTAGTGCCATTTTCCCAAAAGCAAGGCTTGTTTCATGTCTCTGTGTCCTATTTTAGTAATCCTCAGAACATCCTGAACTCTTCCTCCATGTGTTGGCATACCTATTAAACCCTGCTGTCGGGTTCATCAGCTCCGGACATCCCTCCACCAGCTCTCTGAGGTCACAAGTCTCTATGAGAGGACACTACTGTTCTTTCTCCCCTGGGGAGCTTACAGACTCAAGCCCTACCATGTTACACACCACACTGCACCTCCAAGGTCCTTTAATCAGCTGCATTACACCATCAACAGAACTTTTACATGTACAGGGAAACAAAGCCATGGCACAGCTCTGTTGCAGTATGTGGTGCATTGCAGTGGTCTGGAACCAACCTCCTAAGCAGTGTTTCTGAGGTCAGGGCTTTCACTTGTACGTAGCAGGAGAAATCAAGAAGAGCATGTCTACCTCATCTTTACAGAAGCAAACATTAAAGGTCTACTTTTACTGATGACTAACTTTTCCAGTATCTTTTTTTTTTCCTGGTTGACAGTTTGCCTCTTATTATATTAACTGTTTTTCTTTTTAAACTCTCTCCACATGTGGCAAGTTCTGTGAGCTAGAGAACTGGAACAGCTGCCTAGACTTACGGGCATACCCAGCTCCAGTCCCATCTTTCCGCCAGTCGCTGTTCTATTACCCAGGATGGTGACTGGGCACACCAGAGCAATCAGGCTTGGCATCTGAATAACTTTGTTTTGTTTCTATTGAATAGTCAGTGGGTGTAACACATGGATGACACATTGTCTAACTCAAATTTGAACTTTCAGAGCCAAAACTGCTCCCCAAAATGATTGTGTTCCTGTTCAGTTGTTGTTAAATGTCATCAAGTCAAATGCAACTCATAACGACCCTATTAACAATAGCACTGAGCCCTGTCCTATCCTGTGGCCTCTTCACAATCTCTGACACACTTGAGCTCATTGGTGCAGCCACTGTGTCAATCTACCTGGGTGAGGGTCTTCTTCTCCCTTGTAGTCCCCCCTTCATAAGTATCCCGTCCCGCTCCAAGAACTGGCCCCTCCTAGCATCATGCCTGAAGTATGAGAGACAAAGCTTCATCATCTTTGCCTCCAAGGAGCATTCTGGCTGCACCTTCTCCAAGATATATCTGTTCTTTTGGTGGTCCATGGAATATTCCACACTCATTAATTAATTCCAGCTCATTAATGTCATTAGGGAAATTGTGATTATGGATGGTGCCACTGAGTCTATTACGACTTGCAGCAACCCTATGAACAACACGCCGAAGCCCTGCTCTATCCCGTGCCGTCCTCATAATCTCAGACACAGTCGAGCCCACTGCTGCAGTCACTGTGTCAATTGACCTTGTTGAGGGTCTTCCTCTCCTTCACTGTCCCTCCACTTTTCCCAGCATGATGTCCCTCTCCAGGGAATGGCCTTTCCTAGGAACATGCCCAAAGGACGTAAGATGAAGCTTTGCCATCCTGGCCTCCAAGGAGCACTCTGGCTGCACCTTCCAGCAGTTCCTAGAGGAACTCGAGTCCGGAGGCCACAGAACTACAGTCCTAGAGGAACCCATATTTCCCACCCAGCATATGCCAACACGGGGTCCAGTAACAGAGATCCTCTTACTCTATCACCGCTGAGCAGGCTGCCCCTGGGGTCACACTGAACCCCTGACAGGCACCCTGCTTCCCGTTTTCTTAAGAGAACTGGAGTCTTCTGAGTGTGGAGGAAGACTGGAGGTCACCGTTGTGAGCTTCTGTGAGTCAGTGCCAATGCATGGTGGGTCCCAGCACAGTGGAGGAAACGCTGCCCAGTCCTGACCCATCCCATGCAGACCAGGGTGCTCCAGAGGGTTCTCATTGGCTGATTTTCTGCATTAGACCGCCAGGCCTTTCTTTCTAGTCTTAGCCGGGAAGCTCTGACGACACCTGCTCAGCCCGTGGCAACACCTAAGTCTCCACTAACAGAAGAGCGGTGGGTGTATGCATTACTAGAACCGACCCAAGTCTCCTCCGTGGAATGCAAGAGTTCTGCCACTGAAATGCCAGACATACGGCTCAGCCTGACCACCTGACAGAAACGGAGGAGGGAAGACAGTGGACCGAATGCTCTGTGTTCAGGACTGCGATGCACCGACATGTCCCCTTCTCTGACTGATGATCTCACAACATGCGGTTCAGTTGTTGGCTCTCCCCAGCTGGTTCTGACTCATAGGGACTCTACATACAGCCAACAAAACCCAGCCCGATCTGCACCCGCCCTCCCACCACTGCTGTGTTTGCCCTCACTGTTGCCATAACTGTGTCAGCTCGTCTCAGGGAGGGGTCTGCTCTTCATGGCTGACCCTTTGCAGCTCACTGCACTCGACTCCACTATCAGTATCCATGCAAGAAGCCAGTTACAAATCAAAACGCGTACTGCAGTGGGCCAAGAAGCTCTGTAAAGAGCTCGTGAGCAAGGCCATCACCCTGAGGGTTCTAAAGCACCTGACCCAGCCCACAGCAATGTCAACTGCCTCATGTGCGTGTGAACATGGGCAGTGTGGAAGGAAGCCTGTGGAAGAGATGCCTCAGAATTGTGGTGAAGAATACTGACTACAGCACGGACGGCCGAGAGAACAGGCCAACCTGTCATGGAAGGAGTGCAGTCAGGGCGCTCCCTAGAAGCAAGGATGCTGAGAAGTGCTTTCACTCATTTGGGGTATGTTACCACGATGGCCAGGGCCTGGAGAAGGACACATGCTTGGAGAAGCAGTGGTCCAACCCTCAAGGAGATGGATTGAAATGGTGACAGCAAAATGGGTTTAAGGAGGATGGTACAGGACTCAGCGCTCGCATTGTGTTGTGGAAGCCGGTGACAAGCACCTAACAACAACATCGCATGAAGGACTCCGTCTGCCGGTATAGTCAGGACACCCTTTGCTCCTGCATTTAGAGGGCACATACTATGTCCTGAAGAGACAGCCCTGGGCACAGATAAGAAATTAGGGGGTGAAAAAACCCCTCCACGGACCTCTAGAGGTAGTGGACACTCTATTCCTTCCTCCCAATAGGCTCAGGGGAAAGGCCTCCCAGGGTTGAAAGGCAAGCATGATAGATTAGATAAACATCTTCTCAAAGCAGAAGTATAAAATCCAAGGGGAGAATATCAAAGCCGGCTGCACAGCGAGGGTCCCGCGCTCACTTGCCCTTGTTTGCAGAGTCAACTTGAAGGATCAGTGGGTCAAGCTGACTCCCTCCAGAGGTCAGCTGGCCCTCAGACCCTGCTTCTCCTCTCCCCCTGCAGGTGGGCCTTCTCCACAGCACCCACAACAGGGTGACCAGGGGTGCGACCAGAGGTGTTCCCTGCTGGCCTAGAGGAAGATTAGCAGGCCTGAGAGAAGAGGAGGCACTCGGATTACAGAGAAAGGGGTGTTTGTTGTGCCAGTGTGAGGGGGTGACAGCTAGCACCCCACAGAGCCCTGGGCTGGCCTGGGCATCTGAGCGCACAGAGCACGCCCACAGCCAGTACGGTGCAGAGCTGCCAGCCAGGAGAGGCTGCCCCGTGCTGCTTTCCAGTGGAGTTTACCTCGTCCACCCTTTGACTCCTGCTCAGGAAGTGTCCTGGGCTCGCAGGCCGCTGTCAGCAGCACTCAGAGGCGTCAGGACAGAAGGTACAGGGCTTGTCCCTCCTGGAGCAAGAATGCCCACAGTGGACGACATTCTAGAGCACATCGGGGAGTTCCACTTTTTCCAGAAACAAATCTTTTTCTTCTTGTCCCTGTTCTCGGCCTCCTTCGCCCCCATCTACGTGGGCATCGTCTTCCTGGGCTTCACCCCCGACCACCACTGCCGGAGCCCCGGGGTGGCCGAGCTCAGCAGGCGGTGTGGCTGGACCCGCGACCAGGAGCTGAACTACACGCTGCCCGGGCTGGGGGCCGAGGGCGACGCCTTCACCCGCCAGTGCCGCATGTTCCAGGTGGACTGGAACCAGAGCGCCCTGGGCTGCGTGGACCCGCTGGCCGACCTGGCCGCCAACAGGAGCCACCTGCCGCTGGGCCCATGTGAGCATGGCTGGGTGTACGACACACCCGGCTCCTCCATCGTCACCGAGGTGAGTGAGGCCGTCAGAACCAGGACATGGAGGGGACAGCAGATGACCAAGCCAGGCTTAAGAAAGGCACAGGGACCCCCATTCTCAGGCCTGTCCCTTGTTCAACAGGCTCTTTTTATTCTGTGTATGTGAAAAAAAAATCTATTTCCTTTTGTGTCTACTTTGTTGTTCGGTTCTGTTTAGTTAGACCTGACCCACAGCTGGCCTCCACCAGGTTTGCAGGGGCTGTTAATCACACAGGGGGGTGAGGAGGGAGCCTACCCATCTGCCTCCGGAGCAGCTGCTGGTGGATTTGAATCATGTTCCTTTGAGCTGGAAGCACAATTCCTTATCACTAAGCCCCCGAAACTCCCTACACGAATTCTGATCATAATGACCCCAATCTCTGCATGCCTCTACAGTAAAGCACTGCGCATGCTGTAAGGAGGGGCCATTTCTTGAAGAGGGACATAGTGCTTGGAAAGAGAGGACAACTCGCAGTGAGATGGAGTGACACAGTGACCATGGCATTGGGCTCGAGGACGTCAGAAATTGTGAGGATGGCACAAGAAAGGAGACTTTAGACCCGGTTGTTCATAAGGTTGCTATGAACAAACAAAGAAAATAAGGTCACTATGAGTCACACTCGACTCAACATCTAACCACTATAGTAAGAAAGAACAAAAGCTGTCAAAAGTCCTGAAAGGAACTCTAGCTGACCCCTCAAACCAAGCTCACAGCCACTAGGTCACCTCTCTGATTCAGGGCTTCCCTCCATCAGTTCCCAAGAGTGTGAATACTATTAATATTGCAATGTGACTGGAAGTTTACAAAGCACATTCATTTTCCACCCAACTGGTCAGACACATTCTGTTTTCTACCTATCATCACACTAGCTACACTTTGCCCACTTCCTCCTGAAGTATTTCTTTCCCGTAAGCCTTCTATCCTACCCCTGTCAGCCTTCAAGGCTTTAGGATGGGAGGGACCTGTCTCCAGAGGAGCAGGGGGTGGGCTCAGATTGCCAACTTTTCACAGTAGCACACCATGCCATGCACTGAGCCACCAAGACCCCTTGAAAATTATGCCAGAAAAGGGAATACTCTCAACTTTCTTCTTTATGGAACCTCTTCTTTTTCCCTGCATTTTCCCATCACACTAGTGAACCCCCAGATGCTTACAGAATTCGCCCCAAGGGGGTTTTACTGGGATGGAAGCAGCTTTCCCCGGGGCTCATTCTCCTGTTTCTTGATCGCCAAGCAGCCATAGCAATCCGCTTGGGATATAAGATTCTCCTACAGTACAATTTTTATTAAAAACCCACCCAACGTTTCTATTTCGCTGTGAATTGTCATTTTAAATATTGAAGGAGCAAAAATAGGAAGCTCGCTTTTACTCAAGATAAAACAAAGTGGGGAAATCAATGATTCTGAAAGCAGTGAGGAAGCCAGTTGCCTGGTTTGCTTTAGCACAACTGTGTGGATAATGGGAGGATCTTCTGCAGGACCAGATGTTTCTGGAAAGGAGCCTACTTTTTGCATCCAATCTTATGTATACATAAGAATCACTGGGGGTTCTTGTTAAAATGTGGGTTCTGACTGAGTATGTGGTTTGCAGGAATCTAATGAGATGTTTTCTTTCTTTTTCAACTTGGAACGCACCTCGACAGTTTAACCTCGTGTGCGCCAACTCCTGGATGCTGGATCTGTTTCAGTCGGCAGTGAACGTGGGATTTTTTGTCGGGTCTGTAGGGATTGGCTACATAGCAGACAGGTAGGTGTGCACAGAGGTGGTGGAAATGGAGCAGTCTTACAGACTGGTGAGAACTTACCCCAAGTGGAGGGCAGTCTTCCCCGATGTTCACAGACCAAGGTGGCCTGCCCTTGATGTTGGCGGTCCTTACAATCTTCTGTCTCTCCTCCTACACCAAACATCAGCTTCGTGCAAAGCAGAAGTCAGTGCTAGCCGTCCCACCCAGTCCTTCTGATGGCCGGGACGCGTATGTCCAGTGCTGCTGTCATTGTTCCAGCAGTCATGGATGTCAATCCCAGTAGGCAGAGACTTTTCCTGTGGGCTATCTGGAAGTTTTGAGTAAAGAGAGGAGGTAAGGGATGATTTCCTCCCTTTGGTCTCACTGCCTTGCACCTGGTCCTGAGCCTCAGAGGCTCTCTGCTCTGTCCAACCTTCCTGGAGCCTCTAGCACCAAGCCCATCACCACGTCGCTTTTCTCTCTCGCCCTGTGGTGGAAAGAGTGGTGGTGGTGAAGTATATGTATCTAAATTCTGCAATAACTGATAAATAAGCTTTACACTTATAACTCTACCACCAATGACATCCCTGTTATAGATAAACTCAAACTTAGAAGTAAATATTAAATATAAATATGGTCTTTTCGCTAGTTATATTATGCTCTCAGATGGGAGGCAGTGGTCTTCTGTGTCCTTTTCGGGCATATCTCTATTTCTACAAGGGACCAGTCCTGGGCAGAAGAACAGAATTAGACCAAACCTTTAGACACTGAACCAATTTGAACTCATAGGGACCCTGTTGTTGCTGTTATATGTGGTCATATAACATATGCGTGTGACTCGTAACTACCCTCTGAACAACAGATCTGAGCCCTGTCCTGTCCTCAGCATCCCTGACACACCCAAGTCCATTGCTGCAGTCACTGTGTCAGTCCACCTGGTTGAGGATATTCCTTTCTTTCGCCGACCCTCCACCTTCCCAAGTATGATGACTGTCCAAGGAAAAGCCTCTCCCAGCAACAAGTCCAGAGTAGGTGAGATGGAGCTTTATCATCTTGCCTCCACTGAGCACTCTTGGCTGTACTTTCTCCAAGACATCTCTGTTGGTTCTTTTGGCCGTCCATGGGATACTCAGCACTCTTCTCCAACTCCACAGCCCAAAGGCATCAGTTCTTCGGTCATCCTTGATTAACTGTCCAGCTCTCAAATGCACAGCAAGTGACTGAAAAGAGACCCTGAACAGTGACGCTGCAGGAGAGCTTAGACCTGCCCACAAGGTTTCTCAGGCTATCAATCTAACGGAAGCTGACTGCTGCACATTCTCTCACACAGCAGCTGGGGGTTCACGACATTGACCTTCTGGTTAGCAGCCATGCTGTTTGGCCTCTGTGCCACCAAACCTACTAGAAAGAGGGGGGAAGGACATAGCTGGGGGACACACTCGTCATCCCACATTCCTCCCTGTTAGGATTGCTCTGGAAGTTTCTTATGGGTGACTTGTGAAGCAGAGAAAGGCTGTTCTCTTTCAGTTCTTTTACCCTAAAATTGAGGTCATCTTGTCTGGGATGTCCCAGGAGGGGAGAGAGACACATTAACAAGGAGCAGGCCAGAGTCCAGGCGTTGCACACTGGCTCCCAGCGGCTTCTTATGCCCTCCTTCCCTGTAAGGTGAGAGACTGATGCTCAGCTGGCCGAAGAGGAAGTCGACCGACCGGGGCGGGGAGCCTCAGACCACAAGTAACCGAGTTAATTATTCCCATCCCACTCAAAGAGTAGGAGACCTATTAAACCCTCTACAGACAGCGCATTCCAGAGTCACAATCCGTGTCAATTATCCACCTCCTTCAATGACCTCATTCTTTTGTCCATGTTGTTGAAATCTCTGTCAAGTGATTACTCATGGTGTATCCCCCAAGAGGCTCTGCACACACCTACAGTTCTTTCTCCTAAACTGTCTAAGGCCTGGAGGAGGGTCTCCTTTCATCTGTTTGCGTATAAGAGAATGAAAGTGAAGCTAAAACATAGCCATCACAGCTTAAAAAAAAATAGAACCTCCGTCAAAATTTATCTTCTATCTAATGCTTTCTTCTAAACAATTGTCAGACTTTATACACAGGGGCAAGAATCTCGGGGCACTCTGTTTTATGTTATAAATCAATCCAAGACTAAATAAAATAGATTCTTTTATCTGAAGACTATTTTGAATAACCTTAACAGCTAGCTAGTTGTTGTTTGTTGTTGTTGTTGTTGTTGTTGTGTGCTATCAAGGCAGAACCAATTCATAGCTGATCTTGCTGTGCGTTTTCAGAGGCTCTAAATCGCTTAAGAAGAGACTGCCTTTCTCCTCCAGCCGCTTGCCATTGCATTGGCAGCACAACTCCTTCCCTTTAAGCCACCGGAGCTCCCTAACAGCTAGGTAAGGTGTCTCAGATTACAACTTTGAGGAAAAAGCAATAAAGGAGAGTGCTGCATCTTGCACAAAGTCAACTTCTGAGAGTCAGCTTTGCAAAAGGACGAAGAAAAGCGAGAAGGACAGGAAGACGGAGGGAGGGAAGGAGAGGAGGGGATGAGAGGAAAGAAAGAGAGGGTCATGTGTTAAAGAATTTGAAAATAAAGTACTTTGTAAAACTTTTACTTATTCATCATCTACCAGGGAACTGTTTAGAAGTCTACGGAGCAGACTTCCCCAAATCAGGAAGGGGTAGAACAAAAGAACTAATGAACATGAGAATTCTAGGAAAGAAGTAGGCCAAGTGTGGCATTTGCATTGTACGTATAATAATTAATGTTATAAAGCAAAATGTGCATGAATAGTTGAATGGAAAACCCCTTTGCCTTATGAACTTTCACTCAGATCTCAATTTAAGGAGAGAAAAAAAGGAATGGTTTAGGCGTCATCTGACACAAAAGTAATCCCTCGCCAATACCAGGTTTTTACTCTAATGTTCAGTAATGATGAGGGGAGGAGTCCTTGTAAATGTCAATGCTCGGTTCTTTGAGGTAAAATGTCCTGGTCTGTAGTGTTTGTTGGTCTGTGGTATAGTCAGGGAGGTCACTAAACATAAAGTTGGCTAGAGATGTTAACTTGACTAGCATTTTCACCATCTAGTGACAACAGACTTGAAGGCTTGCTACAGAAGATCAAAAACTACAACCTTCAATGGATTACACCTCAGTGTCAAGAAAACAAAAATTCTCTCCACAGAGCCTAGAGTCAACATCATGATAGATGAAGAAAAGATGAAAACTGTCAATTACTTCATCTTACTTGATTCCACAATCAATACACTTGGTAGCATCATTCAGGAGATTAGGAAAGTCTATAGTCAAGGAGACTCCAAGTTTTTGAGGAGCAATGATGTTAGTTTGAAGACTAAGATGCACCTGATTCAGGACATGTTCTTTTCAATTACTTGCTATGCTGCTGAGAGCTGGACAAACGAAGAGTTGATGCTTTTGAACTTGAATATTGGAGAAGAGTCCTATATATCCCATGGACTGTTAGAAGAATAAACAGACATGTCTTAGAGAAGGTGCAGCCAGAGTGCTACTTGAATGCAAAGATGATAAAACTTTGTCTCATCTACTTTGGGCATGTTGTTAGGAGAGGCTATTCCTTGGAGAAAGACATCATACTTGGAAAGGTAGAGGGGCGACAAAGGAGAGGAAGACCCTTAACGAGATTGATTGACCCAGGGGCTGTAGCAATAGGCTCAAGAGTATCAGAGATGATGAGGAGAGCACAGGACAGAATGAGGTTCAGATCTGTTGTTCATAGGGTCACTATGAGTCATCCTTGGCTCAACAGCACCTAGCAACAACAGACAACAGATAAATAGGCAAATGAGGAGAAATAACTTAGCACTGAAGAGCAATGATGTCAGTCTGGAGACTAAGGTGTGCCTGTCCCAGGCCATGGTCTTCTCAATTACTTGCTATGCTTCAGAGAGCTGGATAATGACTAAGGATGATAGGAGAAGAATCAATGCCTTTGAATTGTCCTGGAGAAAAGTCTTGAACATACCATGGACTGCTAAGAGAACAAATAGGTGTGTCCTGGAGATATTGAAATCACACTGCTCATTGGAGGCAAAGATTTCAAAGCTCCGCCTCACATACTTTGGACATATTGCCAGGAGGGACCAGTCCTTGGAGAATAACATCATGCTTGAAAGGGTGGAATGACAGTAAAGGAGACAAAGACCCTAGATGAGATGGGTTGACTCAGTAACTGGGATAATCGGGGTAGGTATGTTAGAGACAATGAAATTGGCTTGAGATAGGGTAGGGTTCAGAGCTATTGTACATAGGGTCACTATGAGTTGCAGGCGACTTGACAGCACATAACAACAACAATGATAAAATAATTAGGACATACTAAGTTTTGTGTATTTGCTTACCTTTTAAGCATAATTTATTTGTTGTTATCATTGAGTTGGCTCTACCTCATGAAGACCTTACATCTAACAAGATGCTCTATCATCTGGTCTGCTCCATCTTCATGACCCCTGGAATGCTGAGCCCACTGGTGTTGGCCCTTTCATAATGCTTTCCAGCCAAGAGCATTCATCTTCCAGCTCTACCTAGGACAAGACTGCATAGCAGTCTGTCCAATTTTCCTCAGCTAATCTTCACAAATAGGCTGCTCAAACTTTGATCTGGAAGTTCCACTGACACTTGGCCATAGGTAACCTTCAAAAAACCCTTCAAATGTACTGCAGTCAACTCCAAACTGTCTCACAGCTCACCCTCAAGTGGAGTAACAGCTGAACTCCCTACAGACTATGTCACAGGAGCTCCTTACCAGCTGGTATTTGAAGGATCCATGACATAGTGTCCTGCATCATAGCAACATGCAAGCTACCACCTTAAACAGATTGACGAATAGGTAGATAGGTAGTGTTACTGACTGAGTGACCGCAACCCTGAGCGTGAGCACACAGAGGTCATGAGGACTGTGCAGACCAGGACAAGGATTCCATCTGTTGTTCCGAGGGTTGAAAGGAGTCATTGTTGATTCGATGGC